CCACGTCTCTACATCATTCCAAGAAATCATCCGGAGAAAACTCATTAAAAATAGCGCTTTACCCCAACGCACTATCTGCTATATTTTCAGCACCAAGGACAGGGTGAGAAGTGTCTTGCTGCCAAATATAACATTACAAATCGACCGCAGGCAAGTTCATTACACTTTTGATTTGATGTCTGAATTAAAAAAAAACCTTTGAAACGTCAGGTCAGAAGCAAGTTTTTAGTCAGTAAATCTTGTGAAATATTAGTCTCTTTCACACAAGAAAACGGAGGGATAGCTCGTGGAGACACCCCTGATTTTGTGGCAATTCAGTTTTACATTGTTACTTTATATTTGTTGCATCACTTCGGTCTAAATCTAAAAAGAAAAAAAAGGATTCCCTACCCACCGATCCTAGCTTTTTTAGGACGAAACTAGCTAGAAACACAACATTGTTTTCCAGGCCCTACGAGCCGAAAATGGCATGCCAAACGCTTTAATACCGATCCCCGCAACATATTGACAGCCGACATAATCTCATAAGTCGACATACCCTACAGAATATATCCTATTATCCCTACCACTTCCAGTAAGTTGATAGACTGACCACTCACATACGCAGAATACATATTGCGCATATTTGTATCTACATGTATATTTATTAGACGTAACTCATTTGGAATGTTCATATACCATCCTAACCCGTGTCGACTGGGACTCGTTATTTGCTGTATGCGATTCTTTTGATCCTGATACTCCCAAGCAACGCAAACCTTCCGCGTGGTAAAGCATGGCGTTATACACCTGCGACATTGACTGATGCAGATAAACTTGGATTTTCATGTAATATTAAAGCGTCATACTTTGATATATGAAAGACGCTCGTCCTTGAAATGGGATCTAGTACCATCTGTTTTTCTTCGACGAGACTAGGATTATGATCCATTCGACCTTTTCCATCCTCTTCCTTTTTGGGACTCCAAAATAACATTAACCTAAATAGGACACGTATGGCATGTAGTTACACTGTCTTTTGGCATGTAGTTACAGTGTCTTTTGGCATGTAGTTACAGTGTCTGGGGATATGAAACTCGTTAGTATTTTGTATCTGTAACTGTATCTGTATAACCGCCCTTTGTCGTAACACACGAGCTAAATGCATCACTGACAGTGTTTAACAGTTCTTGAAGGCTAGACGCGCTCTACTATATCGCGTGGCAGTATATGGTGATCCTGAGATTTATCTTGAGTGTCAGTGGTAAGGCTCCTGTCACATCTGTAAGATCTTAAACAAAGCTGCTGAGGGTCTCAAATAAAGCTGCTAAAGATTCTCGCGCCATGATCACGATGCAAAAGATAAGAAGCGATCATTTCAAAGGTCTGTGGACAGACGACCAGATTTGTCTTCCCTTCCATATGCTCAATGGTAAACAAACTGACTTGAGGCAGCTGTAACAAAAACCACAAGCGTTGGACTGTTCCAAATTGCCCGCCCCTCTTTCTTTCTTTCTTGAAAGAAACCATTGGTGACGGCATCAGCATGGGAAGCACAGAAGTACTCACGATTCCAACATGTGCTACGGCATGTTTAGCCTGGATGTCATCCGATTTGCTACTGGCCCCCTTGCACATTTTTTTTGGACGAGCGAGTGCAAGGAGCCTCGTAGCAAATAGGATGGCACCTACATGTAACTACCGCCACCGGACTTACGCCACATCGCCTAGCGCATGTAAACGGACACGGTTTGTCGTTTATCTTGTGTTACATGAATTATCTGGGTCTGACGTCTTTCCCACAATCAAATCAAGATGGCCTAATGACAACTGATGTTGCATGCGGTGGACAAAAAAAGAAACCTGTTTGACGCACCTGAAAATGTTTGGAAAGTAGGGAATCTGTAAAACATATTTTGACATGATAGTCGTCGCAGAGTGCTAGCTTTGTCCCGGCTAGCTGACCTTGAACCCATGACCCTATATGGAACACGCCTTTTGATACAGTTATAAGAAAGGGTTGTGGCAAATAGCCAAATATGATAACTTGCACACTCGACATCTCATATAGCCCATGGAATAACAACAGCAATGTCCACGTGTGCTACGTGAAACGACAGATGCGGACAACTTCAAAGGAATACGGCAAACTGGTTGTAGACACATGAGAGACGAACTCAAAGAAACTGCAGACCTCGCCCACACGTATACCCCTAGGGGAAGTGAGTCTTGTCACTCCATTTAAACGAACAGTTCAAAACACTCTTCTTTTTGAAACTTCAAAGAATAGATGTTTGAAAATTTCGGAAACACTTGTCGCATCTCGCTTACAGGATATCATCTTTTATATCAGTTTTACAAGACATGATTTTTTTTCCTTTTTAATTCAACGTAAGAAGATGAAAAGACATTTTCCTTTCTATCTCGTTGGAAGCTGTTGCAATACCCTTTAATACTCGTACTACGCTGGGCTCAGACGCGTTTTTTTTCTTCTAAAATCAAATCTCATTCATCTGTATGGCGGGAGGCATGGCAACAAGTGCACAACAAACCGCACACATCCGTTGGCCCACCGCGGGTAATGATCCCAGAGTACTGTCTGCAAAATGGGATAATAACGTCCTTAGCGTCTTTGTACTGACGTCTTTGCGTTTTGTAATAATGTTTTCGTCGTTTCGTGAGCGGGCCATTTTAAAGGATATAAATATCGGACTGGATTTTTGAATGTTGCCCATTCAATCAAAAGCACTGGAAAAACGGGTTATCGCTACATGAACAGAACTATCAAAGCCTGTCAATTTGATTCCAGTCGCATGTTACTTTGAAGTCTACATAATTAAAGAAAAGACACGTAATTTTTAATTTGATAGCTGTCCGCCTACATTGCATTTACCTGGTTAAAGCTGGGAATTGCTTGGGCGTTGTTGAAAAAAAAAAACTTTGAGGATAACTCCAGAAAGAACGAATGGACGTTCATGCATGGGTATCTTAAGTTGAAATGTACTCGTACATAATTAGATGTAAATTCTATGTCTAGTGACAATAAGGCCACACCAAGTAAATTTTATGGATGACGTCCTTTGGAGACCCTAAATCTAATGCGAGAGGGCGAAAAAAAACAAGAAGGGCCCTAAAAAACAAGATGCCTAGATTAGAAATATAGTAAGAGACGACAAATGTTAGGACACAAATTGAATGAGGTGACACTGTGCAAGGAGGTTAAAAAAACCTCCTTGCACTGTGTAACAAGCAAGAAGTCTTTTGTTCATCATCAAAACAGCAATAAATTAGGTGGAACAGTGGACAGTGAAAATTTTTCTGTTATTGACAGGATGGCCCTGTCAATAGACACTTTCTTCGCGTTACGGATTTCACGTCAATCTGACGATTTGAGACACTGTGGTGACTCTTTGGTCATAGTTACAGGAAGCGAAATTTCTTGTTTTTTTTTCTAGGAAGAGGCCAAAATCAATGCGCGCGCGGACGTCATCCATAAACTTTACTTGGTGTGGCCTAATCAACAAAGATATTTTATACGTAATGTAAGGTGGGCAGAACATTACTAGTTTTCTCCTTGTTTCTGACAAAAGTAAGTAAGAGCTCCATGCCGTTAAAAAAATCAACGTTTTTCATTGTATGTCGAATATTCCAGGCGTGTGCTAAAAAACAGCTACTCGAGCAAATGGACATGATTTTGGAAGAAGATTGACCGTTTCCAAAAGCATATCCAGTTGCTTGAGTAACTGTTTTTTGGCGTATCTTATTACCTGGATGTCTAACCTTCACCGACGTATTCTAGGCGTATCTTCCAGAAGCTGTTAGACAAGCAAGGAGATTAGGATTTGGAGAATTTGTAATCTAGGGCGTCTATTCCTGGCCGAATGGCTACTGATTGACCTTTGTTGGTTAAGACTCACGACGCCAGCATTCTTACTTGGTTCGGGCTTAATCCTTGAAAGGCATTTGTGTCGAAGGACAGAGGGAATAGACCTAAGCCACATCCGCTAAGGCCACAGCAAGTAATTTTCATGGATGACATCAGCGCGCGTATTAATTTTCGCCTGCTTTAAAAAAAAACTAGAAATTTTGTTGCCCTCTGACAGTGGTCAACATGCAGAAAAAGGGCAAAGACGTCTGTTGCCATGCCGGAAGGTAGATGGCGGATAACTATGAAGAGAGGAGACAAGACAAGGCTCTGATTTAATGTTTTGTCTTTTACTTTGATGCAGTGATGTATTTCATTCCTTAAAATGTGATGGTGGCTGTGTTCCCACTGAATCAAAACCATTTGTACAATGATTGAACATTTTTATTTCTATTCTATCTATCTATCTAAGTTGTTTCAGTGACAAATGGATGATGTAATAGTTGGCAGTAAATGTAGCACAATGTAGATATCATTTCTTGTTTAACAAGGTTTATGATGTTTATGATTGCATTAGTACTAAAACGCTACCACAGAATTTTGTACCACGATTTTCTTATCCGCATGTAGATTTTTTTTAACTATGACTATTTCAAATTATCTGCTCTGTGAGGCAGGTAACGCGATACAGTTGTTACATGTTAGCTGCTTTTTCATGGAAATCATTTTTAGAATTCCTCCCTACGTTATCAATGAATGAATGAATGAATATGCCATACACATTGTTCTCTTTTGGTTTAGGCCATGTTCATTTAATTTGATTTTATATGGATGGCATTCTCGCTCGCATGAATTTTCGTCCGTTTACAAAAAAAGAAGTTTTGACCATACTGTAAATCTGTGAAAAGAAGGAAATGTGAAGAAATGAAAATGAAGAGTCTCCATATCATTCGCCAGACCATACTCGATGTGACCACGTAGATTTTATAATAAGGCAACTTTGTTTGCCTGATCTGAAACCTTTTTATTGGGGTTACCAGAGGATGTCATCCATAATCGACATGGCCTTACTAATACTATATTCTTTGAAATATTGCCATATTGGTGGATAATATGTATTGGCATGTTGGTTGTTTTTCTTTATTGCAGTCTCTTCATGGTGAGATCTAGAAGTTGACCAATAAAACAATCTCGCCAATATCTGTGGACGGCAATAGACAATCAGTGAAGTAAAAGGCAAGACCAACATCACAAGATGGCTGCTGAGAGCGTCCACTCGTCCGGCGTTCTGGACCCCGCGTGGAACGGCACAGAAGATCAACTGGACGCGTTCTTGTCCCCCAACTCCACCACCAACTCAAGCGACGCTTTCTCCTTCGAGTTCCCGCTGCCGCGCTTCACCGACGTCACCATGGCTAAGATCATCATCGTCGCCGTGACGTTCGTGCTGTCTACCGTCGGGAACGTCACATTCCTCATCATGTCCTGCTGCCTGAGGAGGAACAGACGATCACGCCCGCTGCAGAGCCTGCTGGTGCACCTGGCCATCGCCGACCTCATCGTGACGTTCGTGACCAATTTGTTTACTTATTTATTTATTTACTTATTTATTTATTTACTTATTTATTTATTTACTTATTTATTTACTTATTTATTTATTAACTTATTTATTTATTTACTTATTTATTTATTTACTTATTTATTTATTTATTTATTAGTTCGGCTTACAACAGCCAGGGTTGCCCAACTAGTCATAGACTATTATTAAGGCTCAACCCTGGGAGAAAATAAAGTTATTAGGCATACATACAAACACAATTAATAAAATACACAGTGAAATATACAATAATATACTTTGTATCATACAATTAATTATATACAAATTATCAGGACTACATTATACAATATTTAAATAGGATTACTAACAGTGGTAAGTTTCCTGGTATGTACATAGTTACCGAGGTAGTGATATTAACAAATTGACCGAGTTGTCACGCAGATGATACTGATAGTATGTAGTGTGTTAAACTGAATATATGTTTGGTTTTGAAGGATGACAGTGTAGGGGCAGAGTGTGTTAACTGGAGTGTGTTCCACATGTACAGTTGGGTAGCTCTGAGATGTTTCTGCGTTCTTGCACATCTAGGTTCGTGACCATGCCGTCCCTGGGCATCTGGTTCTACACCGTGGCCTGGCTGGCGGGAAACGGCATGTGCAAACTCGTCAAAAGTCTCCAGGTACAACTTTTTCATTTCGTTTACTTCAGGGTATTTTTAAGGTTTTTTTTTTTTTTGTTTACAATTTCTTGTTGTAGTTGGATTACTCATTAAAACTCACAGCCTTAGGAAATGATGATGCATAAACTGCGAGATCTAATCTATTATTGTTATTATTATTATTTTTACAACTAGTTTTAATATTATCACTTTTATTGTTATCCCTGTTTCATTATGTCCAATCTGTCACTGGGTTTAGGGGATGGGACTTGAACCCTCAGAATCTTTTTATACAGTTTTGTTTGTTTCTTGTCTATTCATTAATGTTTATCATAATTCACATTCATTAAATTCATCATCACATGTATGTCTATCATATTTTGTTATATATATATAGGTTTGTACCTTTAGTTTTATTCTTATGTCTCTGTAGTTAATTGTTTGGTGGTGGCGTTTATAAACATGAGCTGCACTACCACTATATGTCTATATTTGTCTTTCACCTGAATGAAAAAAAAACGACGACACTTAAGTACCCGTAAGAAAGTAATTTAGTCTTTTCAAACTGGATAGATTTTTAATCAGCAATTTAGTCTTTTCAATCTATCTATCCAGTTTGAAAAGACTAAATTACTTTCTTACGGTTACTACGTACCCTGGATTAGTAATCTTCACCAACGTACGACGCCGAAGGTTTGGCAACCTTTGTTATTGTCTCTTCCAGGTGCTGGGGCTGTATTTGTCCACCTATCTCACCGTCTGCATCAGCATAGACCGCTGCATCTCCGTGGTGAAGCCGATGAGCAGAAACACCGCCCAGCGGCGCTGGACCATGGTTGCAGTCTCCTGGATCCTCAGCATACTCTTCAGCATCCCGCAGGTCAGTTGTTTTCATCATTCTGTATCTGTATCGGTATCGGTATAGCCGGTATATTAAACCGCCCTTCGCCTCGGTGTAAAACACCAGCTTTTGCAAACACGCGTCCGAGTGGGCCGAGAAATTCTGAAAGACGCGGCAAATTTAGGAGCACGTGTAGATCTGCACTGTAATTGGTTAGGGCCGATCAAGCTCACACTGTGATTGGCTAAGACAGGTCGTGCCCCGCCCGTGCTCACCACGTGATAGAAGTCCACTTGTATATTGTTGCGCAACATCAATTCATTACCCCATAGGTATCTACATAAAAATCTAATTAACAGATTCCATCACAGCGTCTCGTGTTAATTGTTTTTCCAGGCTGTGATTTTCCACGTGGAGAGCCCGGTGCCAGACTTCCAGCAGTGCGTGACGTTCGGCTTCTACACGGCCAAGTGGCAGGAGCAGCTGTACAACGGGCTGGTCCTGGTCATCATGTACCCCATCCCCTTACTCATCATCCTGTCATGCGGCGTGCTCATCTTCATCCGCCTCAAGAAGGAGGGACAGGATAAAGGTTGGTCAACTCATCGTCAATTAATCTTACAACAACTACTACTAACCCTTTCCCTGCTGCTCTCAACATATTCTGGGAAGAGAATTTCATACCCCCAATGTTGTGAAGTACAATGTTGAACTTAATCCTGTCATGCGGGATATACCCAGAGCACTGAAACTGTATTATCACTCTGGCAACTGATTCTTAAACAACTCTACAACTTACTGCTTCCCAGCGATATGTAAATTATGCATAAATACTTGTTCTTTGAGGATATAATATATATTGTCAGCGTAAAGTGTTTTTAATCGCATTTTAATGAAGTTATTATCGATCTGTTCTATATGTGTCTTTTAAACGTTGTCAAATATTGGCTCAATTCATGTTCTGAACTTTTAACATGTCAAGCCAATATGAATAAAGATGAATTTGAATTTGAAATTTAATTTTATCTATTCCAACACAAGGGTACACAAGGATCAAGTGTTTAACGACTAAGTACGACTAAGATGTTGTCTGGTGTCTTAGGTACTTTCCAGACCACCAACCCGACACGGCAGCGACATCTGCTGAAGGCCCGGAACAACACCCTGCGCACGACCGCCGGAATCATGGCCAGCTTCATCTTCTGTTGGACGCCGTACTTCGTCACCATGGTCTGGATCCTCTTCTTCAACTGGCAGATCGTGTCTCCAGTCGTCTTCGACGTCCTCTTCCTGTTCGGCATCTTTAACTCCTGTCTCAACCCTGTAGTGTACGGCCTCAGCATGTTCAAGAAGACCACCCACCGGCCGACCCTTTCCCTCATCGAGTTTTCCAAGCAGTTTCTGGATACAACCTCTGAGCGCCGTTCGGCCTCCATGTACAGCAGGATCTCGAGAACGTGTTCCCACGCGTCCTTGTCCACGAGGAGGTCCTGGCAGTCTCCCGGCGAGTCAACCCGCCCCGACGCACCGTTCAGTCAGCACGGCAGCCCGCTGACGGGGTTCCCTTGCAGGTACGGCGCTTCTTGTCGAGTCCGGAGGCGGAGTCAGCAGAAATATCTCCATCCCGACGCGCCCACGTTCACGTCGTCAACGATGTCGCCAAAGAAGACGACTTGGTCAGAAAACAAAACTCAGCTGAAAAGACCTCCACTCACCCGTGCCGACTCCTCTCCCTCCGTGCTAAGTTCGACGGAGAAGATCAAACGGCCCAACCGAAGACAGTCGGCGGCGTTGACTGTACCGGTGCTGCCGAGAATCTGCCTGACGCCTCCGCCTGAAACCAGGAACACCACCGAGTTCTTCAGCGCCGCCCTCTGCCTCCTCCACGACGAGCACGCACCCTCGTCCACGCGGCCAGCGGTTGCCGATTTTCCATTTGTGGAAAACCAGGATGTCCAACACAACCTGTCCAGACCGCCGTCTGAAGCAGCAATAACTTCGACACCTGACAGCCCAGGCAGTTGGGAGGTAACGTCATGCCAGTGCGTCAGGAAGTCCTCGGCGTGTCGGTGTGACTCGAGTCCTCCGGGCCTGTCCAGTGCGAGTTGCCAGGGTACAGGAAGGGCCGAGGCCGTCACCAGCAGACCGCAAGTCAACGCAAGGCACAGTATCTGTTCTGCGAACACCGACCTAAGGCTCAGCCCTCCAATCCCAGAGAAGCATCACGCTGAACGAGTACAGAACATGGAAAGCGATACGCAGGAAACAAGTGGTCATGAAAATGACACGTCTTTAGCTTCTGGTAACCCGCTGCCTGGAGTGTCGTTCGACATGACTTGTGCCCAGACAGCGTGCAGGCTGACCGGTGGGGGAGCGTCCATTTTGTATTCGGGTAGCAGTAGTCAGTCCGTTTTTGACAGCCCGTTGAGCACTCCCACGAGTCCCGTCATCTCTGCGGACTTTAGCCACAGACTGTCGCTGTGCTCTTTCAGAGAGAGACGCATGTCCGCAGATCCCTACTCAGCGCTTCGCGGAAAGCAATGCAGCGCGGAAAACCTCAAGCAGCTGTCCCGTAGGAGGAGGGCAAACCAGAGAGTCCCGGCTAAGACTGTCCGTTTCTCGGACGAGCTCACCGTTTCGGGCTCCTCGTTGTCATCGTCGGCGGGGTCAACATCATCGAGAACCGACAGTCACCTAGAACACAGACGGGCCAGGAACACTTCGGAGCGCCGGGCTTCTCTAGCGGACATAAAACCGGGCAACGGGTGTAGGCTGAAACGGAAGACCTCGTCCATGCTACCTTAGACTTTTTTTAGAGACATAAACATTTCTACGTCACGTCATCTCACACATGGCTTTACCACCAACCAACCAACCAACCAACCAACCAACCAACCAACCAACCAACCAATTAATCAATCCAACAATCAATCTATCAATCTATCAATCAGAGGTTATTGCAATTTTATGTTCTTAAAAAGTTCTTAAAAAGTACTAAATATCAAACTAACATCTTCGGTATATACATGTACCGTCTACAATGATGCACATGTCATGGGTTCTGTATAACAAGACTTAACAGTACACTATTTTATATAAGTAATACAGTATACTTGTATATGTAACGTGGATTTCTTTACGTATAATAACGAGTAAACACTTCGCTATTTTCTGTAAGTGATACAATATTCATATATCAATCTTTTGTTCCGGATGATTTTGGTGACACTATCTTTAGCCTGATTTGATAGATATCAATTTGTTATCCAAACGTTTAGATTTAATTCATTGAAACCATTCAGTATTATGTGATATCTCACTGAATTTGTTTGATGTATATGAAACTTATATGATACTGTCACGAGCTCTTGAATTGATTAGAGGAAGGATGAGTTACTGATTGATTCTTTGTCCAGTATCTTTTATGTGATTCAATATGAGACGATGATTTCATTCTGATCCACAATAAAAGTATGGTGTTCATTAATAGCATTACGTGATTTTGTACTTCTTCAGTCATACGTGCCCACTACTATTGCGATGTGGTCAACGCTGTAACTTTTATCTCAACTAACACGTCTAATACTAGTAACAGCGTAAAAGCGATGTATGAGAGAGAGAGAGAGAGAGAGAGAGAAAGAGAGAGAAAGAGAGACAAAGAGAGAGAGAGAGTGAGAGAGAGGCAGACAGACAGAAAACTTGACTCCTTTGGAGTAGAAAAAAAGTTTGGTTAAACTTGTCTTCCAGGAAACTTTTTTTTCCTTTTCCAACAAAACTTCACATGAAAAAAAATGACCTAAAGGCATCGACATAAAGTAATGTGTCTGCACAAAAATAACGTTACGGGGCGGTTTCATGGCTCAGCTATTGGCACCCTTTGTAGGGCCATGTTGATTTGATTATATGGATGACATCCTTTTGGGAACCCCAAACCTAATATGCGAGCGTGAAAATAAAAAAAACAGTTTGGAAAAAATGTTGCCTTCAGTATGAAATCTACGCGGACATGAAAAAAAATTAAGATTGAACAAATGACTAAACACACAGAGCATAGTATGGTGAATAATAGACTGTTCATTTTCATTTCTTCACATTTTCTTCTTTTCCTTTTGGAATTGATTTTGGCATTCTACGACATTAATATCGTCTTGTAATATTTTTTTTGTTGCCATCTACGGAATATATTTGCTCATTTTGATGCTGCTTTATATGATTTACAGTATGGTCAAAAACTTTTTTTGAAACGGACGAAAATTCATGCTCGCGAGGATGTCATCCATGTAATCAAATCAACACGACCTAGGCCCAAACTACCAGAGTACGCTTTCTTCTGAAGCAGACTGATTTCCCAATAAACGCCTGAATACAAAAATGTAGCCGGTTGATTGTCTGCGTCTCTACCTTTGATTTTGTCTGGAAAAATCGGTCAAAATTACAACTTGGTGCTCAATGTAGGGCTTCCTGATTGTCTGAAGCTTTCCACGGCTACGAGGCCAGAAGCAAAGTTCTAGGCCTATTTATAAACGAATTCGTAGTACAGATACCAAATCACGATTTCAAGTTCCTCAGTCGAGGTAGGAGAGAAGTAGAGAAGCTTGGCGGATCTGGCAAGGACGTTAGTTCTGCAAATGCTCGATGTAGCCATGGTTGGGAAACTCGTCATCATTGTTATATGGCTCAGTCTAGGCCACAGCGCCGTCACGTCGGACGAGCTAACAACATGCCCGGCCAGGCACGGGTCGGCACCGTGTGCGGATCCAGTCGTCACGCGGAGGGCGTGTGAGTTCGGCAGGGACGCAAACATCACCGTCAGCGTGACCTGCACGTGCGGAGAGGCGGTAAGATCGTGCTGTTATTCTCCGAGTGGCCGAGTACTTCTTACCGCGGAGGTGGTGAAAAATGCGCTGGGACAGCAGCAATCACAACAGGTAAGTAAGGCTTGTTTAAGGCGCGGTCACATTTCCCAACCCGGGGCCCGGCCGGGCAGTCATATGGAACGAAAATTATTATATATGACAGCAAAACACATATATACAAATTGTTTATTTTTCGTTCACGCAAACAACCCGGCCGGGCCCCGGCTTGGAAATGTGACTAGTACTGACTTAATTGCTTAAAGTTTTGTCATCAATTTTTCAACATTATTGACAAAAATACAAAGATACATTGACACACAAAGACTCATACAGTGTAACACATAAAACAAATATCGTAAAAAATATAGAGATTGATATAAAAAAAGCTTACTGTCTTGAATCTAGCCTTGCACTCTCCAAAGCTCGCAAACTGTAGTACATGTACAAGTAAATCCTTTATGTTCATTTTGTACAAGTAGAAATTAACATCGGTGACGTAAAGAACAGTCTATCCGAGATATCAACAGTGCCATACACTATCTCATGTGGATCGATCTTTTAATATAGATCCAAATGCAAATTTTGTCATCAATGGCTAGTTTAGGATCGGATAAGTTGAATGTATTGACCTCGTTAATTTTTGTGTGCAGGCCAAGCTTTTGGTTATTACGTTTTCTTTGATGCTGCTGAATCGAACGAGTAGACAAATTGAACAATTTTGGCTAAAATCTAATGCGTATCGTTCAGTTGTAGATAGAAATCCTAGTTGGTTTAAGGGCTATGAAAGAGGTGGAAAACGTAAAGCACTGTCCACACTATCATATGATCATGTACACGTACGTCCTTCTCTCTTCCGAACATTTGAAACGCGAACTCAAATTTCAGGTACATCTCCTATACTTCACCATCGGCAACATCGCGGACATAGCCAGGGGCAGTTTCGCCAACATGCCACGTCTGCGCAGCCTGAAGGTCTGGTCCAACTGCCTGAACTGTGTTAAAAAAGAGTGGTTTCAAACGCTGGGGAGCCTGCAAAATCTCGACCTATCCAGCAATCAAATAAGCGTGATCCAAGAGGCAGCATTCGAGGGATTGAAACAACTGAAATATCTCTTTCTCTCGTCCAATAAACTGCACACTGTGGACAGTGTGTGGTGGCAGGGGATGTATGGGCTTGAAGTGTTGGAAATCAGCAAATTATCAGCAACTGATTTCTTAGCATCTTGCAATAAAACGGACAAGACATCGCCTGTCTTCTCCGGCTTGAAAAACATCCGGATTTTGCAACTGCGCTTTAGCGAGCTTCGGATCATCAGAAAGCTGTATTTTGCGGGCTTGGTGACACTGAAGCACTTGTGGCTGAATAAAAACAAACTGGCGATGATAGAAGCTGGTGCCTTTGCGGGTCTCAAGATAAGCTACCTGTCCCTGGAGGGCAACGTTTTCACAGCGGTTCGGTGCGGCTGGTTTTCTGGGATGCAGACGTTGATGACCATCGATCTGTCTGAAAACCTCGTCTCCTCGGTCGAGCCCTGTGCCTTCCACGGTGCCCCAAAACTGCGGAGGATCCAACTCACACGTAACCGCCTGTCCTTCGTGGCTTCAGAGTGGTTTGAGGGACTCCAGCGACTGAGAATCCTTGATTTGAGTCATAACAACATCATAGGCTTACAGGACTTGAACGTACCCCAGGTACGTCTGGCCAATAACCCGCTTCGATGTAGCTGCACCACCGCTTGGTTAAGAGGAAGGCTCGGTGAAGCTCGACAGATTGTTGACCGTAATGAGGTGACGTGTGACTATCCACCTGGCTTACGAGGAGTTGTTGTCGCAAATGTCTCCTCCGGACCATACAGCTGCCCGGCCCCTGTTGTTCTGATAGGCCCCGTGTACACTGTCATCGAGCTGCCAGTTATAAAATCGTCGGACAACAACGGTACAGAGCCAAGCGGCACGGAAATCCCGCTTCTGTCATCAACGGCTGACAATCATGATAACGTTACCGAGACAAGTGGCATGTCTACATCAGTACTTTCATCTACTATAGATGACAACAATGCTACGAAGCAAAGTAGAACGGGTGCTCCACCGGTATCCCTGTCTACTCCGGGTGACAATTTCAATATTTCAGAACCAGGGAGCACGTATACATCGGCCACTCCATCTGGTATAGGTGACAACAATGCTACGGAGCCAAGTGGCATGGGTGCTTCGGTACCTCTGCAGCTGTTTACTCCGGGCGACAATTATGATGTTACAGAGCCAGGTGGTCTGGACACACCAACCACTCCATCTGGTATAGGTGACAACAGCATCTCCGTATCCCCATTTGCAACGGGTGACAATAACGCAACAGAATCAAAGGGAACTGGTGTGCAGGTACCTCCTGGCGACATGACGAAACTGAAGGAAGACGGCAGAAAACGTAGGGCAGTGGCCACACCCGCCATTCTCGGTTCTGAAGGAGAAGATCTGAACATCACATGCCTAGTGTACTGGGAACAGCGTCCCGAGATCATCACATGGACCCTACCGAATGGAGCAAGGCTTGCGTCCGAGGAAGGTACCACAGATTACCCAGACTTGGCCGGTAAGATACAGATGACCGTCGAGCACAAAATCAACACGGAGGGGTGGCCGTGCCACGAAAGAGGCCGTCCAGAGGGAGACTGCGTCAACTTCTTCGGCAAGTCGGTCGTCCAACTCGTGATCCGGGGAGGGAACCTCGGTCTCTCCGGTCAGCACAGCTGCACAGCGGAGACAGAAACTGGAAAGGGCACCGCGTCTATCTCTGTTGAGGTCACGCAAGTCATCTCAACGAGTAGGAAGGAGGGGAAAGAAACTCGACCCTCTGCAACAGAAACGATATCAAAGCCAGAGTTCCATACAACAGAGAGCCGGGCAGAGACGACCCAAACAAGCATACGTGTGTCGCCGTCAGGAGCAGATCTACAAGTCGCCGATTCAGGACTGGTCAGCCCGCTGGTGATAGTCGTGCCGGCAAGTGTGTGTTGTGGAGTGGCCTTATTGGTCATCTGTAGCATCATCGGAAGTAAACTATCTGAAAGGCTTCGTCATT